TCAAAGTGCAACAAATAGTTGAGTTTTTTTTTCAATTAGGAGCACACATCAATGGACTTGGTTTAATCGACTAATATGCCATCTATTATTGCATTGCACTTCTAATTCTTGAAAAATCATTCCATGGCCCGTTTGTTATGAGACCGATTGAAAGATGGCGGGGTAAAATCCAAATGGTGAACGCACCCTCTTTACTTCCTACGCTGAATTAAATCCACGAATTAAACATTATGTAGAATGGCTCCAAGGAGTATTGGTAAAAGTTGAAAAAGACCTTTTGACCTTTTTTTACCTTGAGAAGGTCATTGAAAGTCAAATCTAAAATCAGATTTGTTAAGTTATTCGAGGTTTAGAGAATTTGTTACAAACGCCGAACGCCAAACACCAGCCACCGTCACAAAAAACGGAGACATAACAACTTTTTTTTTATTTATGAGTATTGGCTATCAATTTATTAAGTTTTCTTCAACATGTATTGTAACGAGTTTAGTATGAATGGAATGTCCTTCTGTGTTCTGGTCCTGGATTGTGCTACTGGTTCATTCTCGATTGAACAGGGAAGGAGAATGTTAGACATTATTTCTTTTCACGTTAGATCACGGCTTCGAGATATATAGGGTCTATTTTTCTTATATGACAGGTTTACACTTAGAGTTTGCTTTACTTGCTAGGATTCTTTTTGGTCATTCCCTTTAGAATTTGTGCTTAGATACTTATGCCTTTCTGATACGGCTTATTGTTTCGAAACAATCAATATAAAAGAACCTGAAAGAATTCTGTGATCTTTCATGATGGCATTATGCAGTTAATTAGATCCGGGAGGTTTTCAATTGCGACTGTCACTACATGTACGTTCTATCATTGAGGTGATAATGCGAAGACTGACAAGGAATGTCAGCATCTAATCTTACTGTATTGAATTAGGTAGAATGTCGCATTTCAGCGCATTTCAATGCAACAGATTAAAAATATCACGCCTCGAAATATATTTAATGTGTGATGAATTTTTGTACATTTCTTCAAAGAATGAATTCAAAGATAACTTAATATTGAATGCTGGAATACAAATGTGTGTTGTAATGTTTTATTTTGTTTTGTTATGATATTCAAAATAACATTTGGGTACATGGCGTTTTTTCGGTTAACCTTAAAAGTGTTTCATTAAATTCTTGATATCAAAGGTCGTTCAATAAGTTTGCGGAAAATGCTCTTATTTCCAAGTTTTCGATATTTTTCATAAAATGTTCACATTACATCCCAGAAATATCTGGTTATTGATTTGTAAAATATCAGCATTTCTTATTTGATATCATAGTCTATGTTATGTGAAAATTACATGAATAAGATATTGAACATTTTGAAATGAGAACATTTTTCCACAACCTTGCTGAATGACCTAGTATTCTCATTGTTTGACGCAGTATTGTAAAGCTAAACAGACAGGAAATACTTTGAAGCTGCTGGCAAAGTTCTAAGAATGAGGTCTCACAGGCATGTGTTGAAGTCTATCATGGATTCATGTGGAAGCAAAATTCCCTTTGACCACCAAGGAAAATCTTTCTTTGTCAAAAATTAACAAACTATGTAAGTTGCGTGTGTTATAATGGACTTTCCACATTGCTTTGAATAGAGAAAACTAACGGCAATAAAATACGTTTGTCTCCTAGGCTAGATGTGAGAACTCAAGCTGTAAATCACTCCAAGACCATCCCCTGGAGATATTTAGGAATTGCGATTTATGTAACAAAATAATTTACACCAAACGTTAACCCCAAGGACTGAACTTCTATAAATCATTTTTTCTTTACCATTTAGAAAGTTACCTGATTCCAAAGATCTGAATTTACGAAGAATATACAGCATTTAATAAGAAAGTTTTCGCCCAAAATATTTGAGTTTTACATACGGATGACAGTCTTGTATACAAAACTTCATATTTCTGTGCAGGAATGTACGAGAGACAAATGCACTAGATCATGCCACCTGTTGGTAATGATGTCATTCTTACATTTTCAGGGCAGAAATAGGAGGATCAAAAATTAAGTGTTTATTTCCAAAACTTACAAATAATACAGGATGACACAAAACCCTTTTTCCGCATGACATCTGAATTGTTTTTTCATTTTGTGTCTCGTAATACCTACTTTCTATGGTTCATCCAAAGGGGTCAGGATTATTGTAAATGTCCTTTTTCTACATTTTCGATTTCCAATCTATTATTTAAACATGAATATAATTTTCTGATATGGAAAAATAAACGTTTATTTTAAGAATTCATATATACAGAAGTACGTTTTTTAACGTTTTAATAAATAATAAACAATAAATATGACTCCCAAATGACTGGGAAATGTGACTTTCCCATTGAACCTCGATAAACGTTCATGGACATCAGCCTTAAGTCTGGTTACATAGGACATAGGACCGCCTGTGACAGTTTGCCCCAAGTACAAGTCGAAATGAAATAATTATGAAATACGGTTAGTCTAGGTCTGACTATAAATGACAAAGACCAGTCATATAGTCTGGTTTCAAGTCACATAGAAAGGTCTTGTTTGTTTACGTTCAGATTTTTATAATTGACATATAAGCAATAAAAATGTATTTTTGGGACAGAATTAGAGCTACAGGTACATGTCGTATGCATTTTTGGTCTGTATGCCCACGTGTCAATGGCCAAGATTTCACATTATTACCGCCTTGCCGGGCCAGTCCTAGGGGTTTTAGTGCTAGTTTAGAAGGCATTCATTTTAACTATATCGACTTGAGAAATGTGTGACGTCATAGTGGTAGTCCATATGGACCGGTCTAGAATATATTCTGGACCGGCAAATTTTCCCCGGGAAATTAGATATCGTTCAGTGCGTGAGATTTTCTTGCTATTTCAGCCCTGGTCGTTAACGGTGGTAATAATACTAATAACGTCATTTCTGCGAGCAATATAGTAAAATATTTGACCCTGGGCCTTCGGCCCTCGGTCCAATATTTCACTTTATCATGCACCTCATTAAAATACTCAAATCTGATTGGTTCTTAGTTGCTTGTAATTTGGCAATACTCTGCTCTTTTCTGAAAACTCCCGGATATTTTTTGAATATCTGACCCTTTCGAGAAAAAGGGTCGGATATTTTTTTCAATGTTTTTGCAACATTCCCTCTTCAGAGTTTTATTTCTTAATAACTGGAGTACTACTTAAAGCTTACATCTGAAACAGGAGGAAAATAGAAGAAAAAAGAAATGCACTTAATCAATCACAATTACCCTTATCATTCAAAAGTTACATATAATTCTGCAAGAACGTCTCGAATAAATAAAAATTAAATTCCCGGGGCAAATATTTTCGTCCAGTGTAGCGAATAAACTGGCTGGAAGTCGTCTGAGTTTCAGGTCAAAATAAAAATAAATAAATGTCAAAATAATGTCAACTAAACGACAGTTTAAACCTGTACTCCAGTAAGTACTCCACTTAACTTTGATTGGGAGGTGCATAATAAAACAAATACTGGATGATCAGGAGCTGGATATGGCAGAATACCTATTCGAGAAAAAATATTGGGCGAGGCGGCCGAATTTAGGTTATTTCTATTATCACCACCTACATGTAGCTATTGTAAACTAGGTACAAACTTAATAAAACGATCTCTACATTGCCCGCCACTATTATTCATGTCAATATATGAAATATAAGCCTTCTAAACTAGGACGAATAGCCTGAGAACAGACATCGCAAGGTGTTGATACTATTTAAAAATTAGCAAGGTGGATTGGTATCTTGGGTATTCCATAATTGCCAAATCAAATTTTTTCAGTTACACCTTTTTACATCTATGAGTCTGCGGTCAACCCTTTTTGTAACTCCCAAAGGTGTTCGATATTCACAGGTTTTACCGGTGTTTCCAAAGAATTCTTAATAGCTTTAGCGTCATTTTTGTAACGTTATTTGAGTGGGCCAACATTTGGCTTTGCACTTTAAAACCGTGATGCGATTAATGGTGACAATTGTCTGCGGCTTCTGAATCTAAATTCCCGCTTGTCTTACCACATTATAGATCATCCGCATCTGGTCAAAGATACGGTCTGATAACGTCGGTTTATCTACGTCTCCTTTAGGGTCATTAGTCCTAACGTGTGATCGTTCTGAGAATTAGAGTGGCAGCCTCCTGATCAGCAAATTTGATAACGTTTTACAAATTGATTTGGGGATGTTGTAAACCGTACTCATACTGAATCTATGTCTGCTTTTCTGAGATCACGATATTTTTCGAATTAAAAAATAGCTCAATTTTGAACCGATAACAAATAAATGGATACCTAATAGTTCTATAAGCCTAGGTCGATGGGGGATTCATATCTGATTGCGTCGTATAACGAGCTTTCAAAATGAAAGATCGTGATATTTAGCTAATAGCACATTTTAACTGATATTTCGTCAGATAATGATAGCAATTATATGCCTGTTACTGGTGATATTAATCGCTGTCTAAAGCAGAACATTTTCATTTGAACAAACTAAATCACTTATTTTGTAGAAGATATAGTAATCATAGTTTGAGCACAATACATAGTTACGAGGTTAGTACCAAGTTTTCTACATATAACACGGATAAAACTTAGTTTAAATTCAATTCAGTGTCATATGATGCTTTTGTGTTAAATCACACTTTGAAAAAGCATAATTCCAAGTTACAGTGTACACTAACTCTGTTTTGCTTTAAATTCCACCGGAAAAGCAAAATCAGATCGAACTGCAAAACATTAAAATACTACGCAATAGAGAGTATAGCCCAGAAGAGTGATCACTTTTTCCGGGACGACCATGGACAACTTCCATCGGGAATAATGGTCCTTTTTCTGTTAATGACAATGGCGACCTTGGTGTATTTAGAAAGACCCATCAGTTTGTTTAAATGATGTTTAAGTTATCTAAAAAGTCTGTACATTGTAGCTGTAATAGTCATTTTGATGTTTATACTTCAATGCATACTGTTTATTGTGTAGCCTAAGTTGTTAATTTCCCGAGACATTTAATTTCCCGATTTCCGAATTCCGAAGTAGTAGCCCGTACTTTTAACGTTGCTGAAGTTCCTCCTCTCTCGTGATCTGTAAGGGGATGTAAGGGGATGACCATTTTTTTACAAAGCATCTACTGTCTTCCCATTCCAGCGATGGCTAGTTACAAAGGTGTATTTATCACAAGATCACGATATGTTGTGACACGGGCTTACTCTATTAATCCTCCACAAAGTACTTGGTCACACAAATCAAGAATCGCAATTTCTTGTGGATGAGCTCCTGATTTGACAAAGCGTTCGAGGATCTTTTACATGATCAGCACGATGGGGAATCAATGCCTACACCTTGTTCTGCGTTCATTTCAAATGACTCACATTGACGTCATATTCAACAATCATCATGGTGTTTCATTAGACTCATCTTGACTTGGTCTTGTTCTAAGTTCCTCTCGGGAGAGACGATACACGTCAAACTGGCTGTGTACGTGCTGGAAGACGGGCTCTTCATTGTAGAAGAAGCACAGCACGGATTTATACCTTTCCAACTTAGTTCCCTGTTTAAACCCGGACTTTGATCGGAGTTCCTGTTCTCGGATCTATCTTGGTACCTGTAAACGGGCCTGTGTGAGTTAACGCTATGCATACTCTTGCATCTAGCGCAATATTGAATACCGTTTGTGTATTTATTCCCGGATTTGTTACTACTGCCACGGGAAGAGCGAGACATGAGAGAAGAATCACGCCTTGGAATAGAGTCAAACTGAAAGTAAAAAGATAATTGTTTTAAATCAGGCTTTTGGACATACTTTACTAACTTACATACTTTACTTTATTAAATCAAATGAAATAAAGTCATTTTACATTGTACAAGACGCAAAGTCCCGTTCCCCGCCATTGGCGAAGTAGACCAATTTTCACACGAACAGCTTCCAAACCAGTATTGCTTTCATGAATAAATATATAAATTATATACAGGCTGAGCCAAAAATTGTTACCCAAAGAAATGATAATAATTAAATCATCACATTAAGCCTTGTTCAATTGTTTTTCCATTGTTCTAAGTGGCATTGGTCCGACCTCGACAGTCACGATTTTATGGTCACTTTACTAAACATGCTCGAAATGCCGAAACATGCCAAACGCACCATACATGAACCCCAAGATTTTTATCTTTGGGGCTACCCCATATACAATAAATATAAACTAACACTCCTGGAAGCATCAGAGAATCGAGAGAGATAAGAAAGAATACGAGAGCTATTACACAAGATATCTATGAGAGTGAAGTCAAAATAACTTCCCTGACGGGTTCGAAGTTTGCCTGTAGAGTCGACGAAGTCGGCTTTTGGAGAATGTTTTGTTAAAAAGCCATAAAATCATGACCATTTGAATAGACTATGAAATTTGGTTGAATGAAAAAAAAATTGAACAAGGGTTGATTGAGACAAATATGATCATCGCCAGCAAAATTGTCTGCGATTTCTTCAGAAAACTCATTTATATCTATTCATTTTCACTGACTGCTATACTTTCCTAGATGACTCAATATTCGTTGATTTGCATTAGTCAATTTCGCTAAAAGTAACATTCCATTCCTTAACGAGAACAGTATGTCAGTGAACCTATTTCCATCCTCCAAACGCAGGGTTCCAGACAACACCCACCCTGAAGAAGGGGGAGCATAGCAGATGATATTTAGAGCCCTGAGTTAGGAGGATGACTTACTTCTACAACCTGTGAGCTCCGTGATGATATCCGCCTTACAAGGACAGAGCCACCACTTGCACGTGTTTCAATGGCATCCGCAGGCCTGTTACTTCTCCAGAAAACACGATAGACACGTGACATGAAATGTTTTTTGAAGAGTTTTGTCGTCAATGTATACAGGATTGGGTTCAGTGCACTGTTTACTGGTAGTATGAATATGGCAACCCAGCCGTAGAATCCCTTATTGATTTTAGCACCTGAAATATCGATCGTTATTATATCACTATCTAGCTAGCGACAGTATGATTGGTCAAAACCGGGTCACATGTAGTGGGATATCTGGCGATATTCAATGGCAATGCTAATCAGATAAGACAACCGTGAGATATCTAGCGATATCCCACGCTCCCGGGAATTTTCAAAGAATTTGTTTTCGTTCAGTGTAAATAATTTAGTTCAGTGTAAGTCAAAATGGCAGACGAACCGAGTAGATTCGTAAAAATATCAATGTTAACCTATGACTTAATAATATTAGGGATGTTTAGCTAGACAGTGATATAATAAAACAAATATTTCACTCTATTTTCGGTGAATACCTGTAGCACTTTCACAAGGTGATATTCCACTTGCCCTTCGGGCTTCGTGGAATATCACTTGTGAAAGATGTACAGGTATTCACCTCAATAGAGTGAAATATTTGTTCAATATCATTAATTCATGATACCATAAATATTAAATAATGGCCTATAGTATGTATATGCACATCGACTTTGCTGCTGACTATAGGGTTCTAGCCCATTTTCTTGATTTGTGTATGCTTCACAGTAGATCGTAATTCTTGTTTTAATGAAAAAGCTGATTGATTTGATAGACGATTGACATTGGCCTGTAGCTGTGACATTGACTCCATCTATATATTTCAAATTAAAGCCTTTTTCAATAATCTTAACTCCCAGCTGGTGTAAATCATTTGTCAGAATCTTAGGGGACTTGACAGATCCTTAGAGTGATTACGTAATATCAATAATCAATATTCTAACAAATGATTAATTATCAGCAATTGCAAGTCTCCGGAGTATCACTACGACATATTTCGCACATTGCAAGAATATTGTAATTTTTGGATAAAGCTGTCTCCACAAAGAAATACAGAGTTGCCGAGTAAAATATGATCAGGAATTCAAATCTTTAAGAGCTTTTTATTCAGAGGACATGCACGCCTTATCATCCTTGGTCCAAGGTTGTGAAGTCTAAGCAGTGAAGCCCGTTCTTGAGGGAAGTGTTTACATATCTCTATGCATTGATGTTGTATATGTTACATGAGGGCCAATCATCGATTTCATAGTTTCAAGTTTTTACTTTTCAGGGTGTCTGATTAACAAATGCATTCGACAAGGAATCTAAATGAAAATACACTGTAAATAGTTGCCACGATAATATTCGAAGCAACATTTTTACACTAATAATGCCTCTTATTATTCAGCAACTGTCAGAGAGACAATTCCAGATGTAGATAGGGTGCTCTGGATATTCAAATTAAATAGGCAAATGTGCACAAGGAAAGGGAACAGGTGTATTGTAGTCACACTGCAGCCCATGTTGTGTTTCAAGTTTATTGTTCCAATGGGAGTAATCATCATTTCCTGGCACCTGAGGTCCATTGTATAAGAGGTATTATAAAGGCCCTGTGTAAAGTTTTAAAAATGATTCATTTACTGAAAATCTTTCCCGCCATTTTTCAAATAAATTTTTAATCATGAAACATTTCACTTTACAGTGCAAACACCATTGCGAAGATTGAACAAAAGACACACTTTTTTGTAAATATGTCATATCTAATGTGCCATTTAAATGTTTCAGCATAACAAAAGAATTACACCCTAAGTAACATCATCGTGATGCCATTGAGGAAGTTAACTTTTTCAAAAATAATTGTTTTTCAATCTTTTCAAATATGCTAACTTTCAAAATAAACCAATATTGATTGTCTAACGAGGTTAAAATGAAGAATATATTGTTGTATTTCATACTTGAGTGGGTTTGGGGTAGATATCACCCGGGAATATATATCATATCTGAGGAGCGGGCAGGATATATTGTATATGTCCCGCTCTAGGCCAAATGTGAGCAGATATAATATATCCATCCCGCTCCCGGGAATTTTTTCAAAAGTTTAAAAAAGTTTAAAAATTTTAAAAATTTAAATTTTAGAAGTTTAAATTTTTTCAAAAAATTTAAATGTTACAATTCTATTGTATTGAACTGAAGGAATATTATGAAAATGTTAAATATAAATTGTGCTTTTACAGTATAGCCTATCTTGTCATTTGAAAAAGGTGGTAAAGGTTATATCTACCCCAATCTCACTCAAGTATGAGATACACCAGTTATGTAGTTATGTTATGTTATGTACCAGGTTAAAATGAAGAATATATTGTTATATACTGTACTATAATATATACCGTACCATTGGTTTCTATGACAACTAATTTAAAAATCCATTTTTCTCTGAACAACTTTTATGCATGGATGAGCTCTTAACAACTTTTAGAAATTAATAAAAAAATGTTTCACGCATCAAATTTTGATAAAATTGAGTAAGACTACAATATAATCCAAAGTGGTTTAAATTTGATATGGGGCCTTTAAGAAAAGGGTGTGACGTGTGAAACAATTCTTTCCAGAGCTGTCTGTATTGATATTAACCAAGTCAACTATACCCAGGTGAAATTGACTAGAAACTATGTTGATGGAACTGTCTGTTCCCTGTTTGCTTGTAATAGTTACAACTGTGAGAACCTGGGATAAAGTTCGGATCTGCAATTTTGCACCTGTTTAACAAACCAATGCCATGCGTCAAGAAAATTAAATCTTTTTTCATGCAAAGTCATATTACATTAGTTTAAAGTTTGAGGAGAAAATGAAATTTCAGTTGAAATAATGCATTCGAAGCGTTTTGAGTTGATTTTAGAAATCACATTAAAACCTGTCTAATCCGAACCCCACTGCTGGGTCTGGCCAAATGTTCTTTGAATGGCAGCTGTTCGCATTTAAAAGTATTTTAGCATTGAAGTCTGGCAGATTGAGAAACGCTACCGAAAATGTTCACATTAGGAGGTGTTAAGATGAGAGATGAGAGGTGTTCAGATATAGGTTCTACTGTAGGCTGATATAAGTGACTTATGTGCCGCTCCGTGGCTAGGTTATGTCCCCGCAAAGGACTTGAAATGCCAAACGGACACTCATTAAACCTGTTTTAATACTAACCTGATAAAGCTGCTATTTTGATAATAATAATAGGGATCCAGCATATAAAATCTGTCATCACAATGAAGAAGAAACGCTTCATCAGTGACGTCTCTTGGTTTTCTTGTGTTGACCTTAGCGACATCTGTGACCTTCGTATAGTCGCAAACATCAAAGCGTATGCATATGAGATGAACAAAAATGCAGCAAAGTTTATGGCAACGAAAAGAAAGAGGGAATACTCCCATCCATTCTCGTAGGGATTATGTACATGAAGAGGTAAACACACTCCATTGCTAGAGTAAAATGTGTCCCCGAAATAGTCCGATGGAAACAGGGGCATCGTTGTTAATACGCAACATAGTAACCATATCACCAACATTATTGTGTACGCCGTTGCTATGCTCCGCTTCTTCAGGTGAAGTGGATACATGATTGAAATGTATCTGTCGAAGGTGATCACAGTTAGTGTCAGTACCGATACTTCGCTACTCACTGTGCTTAAAACACCAGCTAAATTACACTGCCAGCTACCTCTCCACTCGGTTTTCAGTTTCAATAAATACTCCCCTCTATACATGATGTCTTTAGAGGCAATGATGAATAAATATATTCCCATGAAGAGATCAGAAAGGGCGAGATTTTTGATGAAGAATGAGTGAATCTGATTGTCCTCTTTGATTAGTATTCTCCCGAGAAGGACGATGAAGTTACCAATACATGCCAATGAGGCGACGACCCAGACGCTGATTCGTAAAATCCCATTTTCTAATAGGTTTTCCATGCTGGAGATTCCATCCCCTTTTGGATAACAGTTACGAACGTGAAGTGCGTAGACGCACATGGTGAAGTCGTCAAAATATCTGTAAAAAAGAATCAAAATTGTTAGGACAAAAATCGACATACTGACATTATACGAGGGTTGATCATAAAGTTCTCATAATATCTCTCTAATTTCTTTATTTTTCAATATTTTCCTATGAAATTTTCACAGAATATGCAGCATGGAATGTTTTATTAATCTAGCAAACAATATTTAGAATAACCGAAATATTAAATGAGAAATGGTTGCCATAGTAACTTGAAATCAAGGCAACCGGGGCAAATAAAAAGACTAGCTAGAATAGCCCTCATTAACCATGTTTAAATACATAATAAGTTTTCAAATAAGCTATCAAACACATTAAATTGTCAAATAATATGGGCTCTTAACTGTTGTGAACTATTATAATGGTCATGTGAATTGTCTGATCTCATAATAGATGATTGTTATGCTTCATAAGAAGTGACTGTTAGACCCCATGACTGTTTTGTCAAATATCCTGAGGAAAATTGATTTTGCCCCATTAGTTCATTTTTAACATGTACAGACCACACACAGGGTGTAATTTTGTTGATATCTTAGCAATATATTTGTTTAAGAAATTTGTTTTTCTGAAGATCTCTGCATCTATTGCATTCTCTTACTCTGTCATTTCTGACCATTAGCTTTGCGTCTTAGACTCTGGTAGCACATCTAATGGAGCATGAAAGCACCCCCTTTGACATCACACAATTTACACGATTGATTTATTTAATTCTTAAAGCACTTTACAACATATTCAAGTTAACATTTTAATGTGTTTGGTGATTCATGAGAGTTTATTATGTATGTAAACATGGTTGATTAAGCTCATTCTCTCAATTATTTTTATTTGTCCCGGGTGCCTTGATTTCCCGTTACTATGGCAACCATTTCTTATTTAATATTTCTGTTAAAATAAATATTTTTGCTGAACTAATAAGACATTCAATGCTGCACATTTTGTGAAAATTTCATTAGAATATATTGAAAAATAAAGAAATTAGCGAGATATTATGAGAACTTTATGATCAACCCTCGTATATTATACCGATCTAAATTTCGACTGCTCATTTGGAATCATCAGAAAACGTTTGGTCAAAAAAAATATGGCATTTTCCATCGTCGTCTTAATGGACATATTTAGGCTAAATAAAGAAATTGAATACAATAGTTTAGTCCGTTAACCTCGATGAAAATTAATATTTATTTTCTAACTAACTAGATTAGAAAAAACTTATAAAGTATTAGTTAATAAATGTATCTGTCTAAGCTATTCCTCATAACTTATGGCTACACAAATCGGTACACAAATTTTGAAATGTGATATCACGAGATGGTTATAGCATTGACCTAGGAGACTATTGAAACATAAATAACGACTACCGTGATAATTAGTAGTAACTTATACTTAGATGATATATTTTCATCTCTCATGACATGCATGGTCTTTTATAAGCTATGGGGAATTGTTGTGGGCGAACTTAGTTATAAATCTGACATTCATCAGAGTTTGTTGACACTATTAATTCAATTTAATAGATATTATCGACTACCTCAGCCAAATTGGGCCTAGGAGATTTTATCAATAGACCAACCCAGACGATCACACCACCTATTGGTAGTGATTAAATTCGTGGGGCTTCGGGGAAAGTTCTAAATTTTCACACTTAAATAGTAAAATAGATTGGATATATATGATATTAAATTAAATTGAGACTCGATCACAATGTAACGTTTTCTCACTCTTTCCATTAATGTTTAGATTGTGTGTTTAGAAGAGCATTTGACGATCTGAAAATGTTTACCTTTAATTTGGTGTTCAAATTGCGGGGACAATATTTAAAAACAAAAATTCTACAACCATTTTAAAGATTAATTTTTCCTAATGTTGATGATTTTCAAAGAATTTCTCTTGTCATGAGCAATATAAATTGAATGATGAAAAAAGATTTTCCAATCAAGGCATTTCCTGACAGTACAATCATATCATGATCACTGACAACCCGACCTTGAGAGATGCCTATTGTTACAGTTCTCCTTGAATATAAAAGAGAGGTGATAAACAATATTGCAATCTTAGGATTCAGAGTGAGAATCATTTTTGATTCACTCAGTATGGTCTGATATTATTTGAACTACCTTAACAACGGCCCCCATAGACCCACCTCGACCACAGCACCACTGATGATAAATCCATTTGACTACAAAATGTGTAACGATGTCTACAAACGTTGATCTACATAATTTATTTTTGACCCGACTGAATCTTTCCATCACTAAATATACAGTTGGGGAATGTCAATCAATAGCAAATTGATGGTATACATTCTTTGTACTTCTAAAGAAATGTGTTGTGATAGGAGTACCCATCTTCGTTCACTCGGCTCCCGTCGGTCGATGAACGCAATGAAGACCGGAGCGTGCGAAGATGAGGAGTACATTTACCTGCATCTGTAAACTTTACAGACAGTGCATTGTTGTAAGAAGAATGTTCAGTAAAAGTTTGGTGTATCTGGTCAAAGATCACCCTGTATATTCAATGTCTTTTTAATAAAAATGCTAACATTTTGGCCTTTATTCAAGATATCGTACGGCATTGTGGGTAATTATTTATACGATAATTAATTTGCTCAAATGGAAATTACTTACATAAACGATAAGTTCTTCATCTGCCTAAATATACCAAAAGGTACTTCCAGCTCAGTAAGCTTATTTTGTGACAGGTCTCTACAAACATTTCAAATATTATAGATATAATCTACAGGATGTCCCAAAAGTATGGGACCCCCTAGGCAGACATATACCAATGTCTCCATAGTATGTCATATATCATTTTAAAGAACATTTAAAATTGCATTGCATTGCCAAGTATCATGGTCCTGTGAAAAGGAAACAGGCATTTCAAAATTTAGTGTTTGGCTAAAATTAGATTTATTTTTACACCAAATTAATAGCCGGTGTGTCTCCATAGGCCATGTTAACAGCAGCTAGCCATTCTTTTCAGATATGACCCTAAACGCACTTCAAAAAGGGGCGTAGCATTTTGTAATTCTTATAAAGGAATATCTGCCTCTCACCATCCTCTTTTTCTAACTCAATATCTAGCCTATCTTTGACGATAGCATACATATTTTCGGTCACATTCAGGTCAGAGCTGTTTCCAGGATATTGATCTGAATTTTTATTTTAGCACTTTTAAACACTAAGTTTTGAAATACCTGTAACTTTTTCCCACTTGTGAGTTGAACCATGATACTTGGCAAATCGATGTAACTTTCGATAGGCTTTAAAATGATGTATGAGACTACTATGCATACATTGGTACGTGTCTACCTAGGAGGAGGTCCCATACTTTTGGGACACCCTGTATACACGTATACATTATTATACGTCGTTGGAGCCAACAACTCATAGAGTTGGGTAGGGGTACCATTGTCATTTTAGTTTAATAAAAAGGATTCGAAGTTTACTCGACGTTAGATTAGTTTGAAGTTGCATAAGGCATATTTTATGTTGCCAAGTCAAGTAAAAGAACAGCGCGCTAAAGTATCATTACCGGTTGCTATTTTTATTTAAATCAGTAATCAAATTACTGTCATTACACAATGGTAATACTACAGAGAATAGAACACGACCACTTTAAGTCATAAATATGAGTAAACATACCATGTGCACCAAAAATACGAACATACTTACAATGACGTTAAACTACGTAGGGACGACATAGAACCAGCCTCAATTGATGCGATTTTATTAGTGTTCAGGTCCCTGAAATATATAGGTAACATTTTGGATGTTAGGAAGAAGAAAATGTCCCAAAACTAAATACAGTGATTCTCTTTTCATTGTATTTAATTTCTTTTTTCATAATGCGAGTTTTGAGTCCAGCTGACAACGGCGTTTAAAAGTTTCTATATCACTGCGCATGCTCCATGCAAAACTAGCTTACTCTTCTGAAAACAATGTTATAATCTTTGTATTATCTACATAGATTTTGCTGTCATAATTTTCATTTTCAGGTAATTTCATAATAATTAGCTGCGCAAATATTGATATTTACTTAAAGTAGAACTTGTTACTTTGCCTCAAAGACATCAGTTCATAAATCTAAATTAGTCTTCTATTGATCATGACTTATAATTTACAGACTGAGCCATTGTGAATTTCAAATGATTGCAATGGCTTAAAGTGGCATTTGACTGTCGCTTTTCACGCATACACCGCTTTTTGAATCACCCTGTAGTATGCCCAGTTAATTTTACCCGTATGTATGTTTTGTTGTTTTTCATTTAATCGGAATATTTTACTTTCTGTAAAAAATGTGGCAAATAAAATGTGAACGGATTAGAAGACACTTAGTTATTAGTTATATTTTTCATTATGAAGAACAAGTCACGTTTTATACGAAATGCCAGTCGAGAAATAAAAGTTGTTTTGCATTATGTATTCCCTCAAGTCTTGTCGGAAATTGTTTAATAACTAATTGATTAAACCTTTGTGCTGAGAAAACGTGAGGTACTACATTAAAATATGCTTTCAGCATGATACTTACAGGAATAACAAGCTCTTCAGGTTGAGAAACGTTTCCTTCTTGATTACCTTGATGAAATTGCCATGCATCACTCTAGTAAGTACATAAACATAAAATATCATTACTAACATGCATTTCCATGCATCTGTGACTACACGGTGAGCTAAGATTTTCATATTGGTTCAAAGTTTTGATAAGCAATACTATTTTAGGATTTCGATAATAATTTGATGGGAACGCAAGAAACGATTATGCTATTGTTCCTGAAATAACAGTTGTTTATTTTTGGATGAGAAATGTAAAAATATCAGAACCAGGTGAATATGAACAGTCCATCAAAGAGTAGCGTTTGTATTGTGCAATGATATGAGACATAGATTGCTATATTAGTAACAATGGGCCTTTACCTTTACATGAGGTTAAAACAAACCAACCGTTTGACATTGAGACTACGAGTGTTTATTAGAACCAATACAAATAATACCAAGAAATATAAAGTTGTGTGTAAATACATAAAAATAACGAACGATGGATGAATTGATTTGACTGCATTATTCTTATGAAACATTTACATGGTTGTGGTTATTACATCACATGGGTTGGCAGTAGTTGGCATTTATTTCAAGATTACATTTGGAATTCTATACAAACTGTGTGAATACCTTTCCCATGCATACCAACAAACTCAAAACACTTAACCATTCATGGCTTTATTTCACAGACAACATTAAACTTACAAATGCCTCAGCTTGGTCAGGTGTAGGAAAGATTTGGCTTCGATCATAGAGATGCTGTTTTCATTTAGATAGAGTTGTCTTAAGTTAGACAGATTATCAAATGTACTTCTAACGATAGTTCCGATTCTGTTAGTTCCTAGGTACCTGTAACACATAAGCTTTGATTACATTTTATAAACCAATATCCATTTGAGACTGTAGTTTTATAAAATAGGTATATACTGTATTATAAATTGTGGTTTATCACTTCATATTTTTATTCTCACTTGAACTTTTTGGATTACTCTATCGGCAGAAATACAAAGCATTGATTTCCTAAGAAAGAGTATAAAACAGTCGAATAGCTGAACAGTATGGATAAATCAATTAAAAACATATTTCCAAATAAGTGTTTCCATTCACCTCAACAGAAGAACATTCCGGAAATCTGCTAACATTTAGTATCTACATGAGTTGAACCAGAAATTCATTGCCGATGTGAAAGTTAAATCATTGATGTTATATAATGCTGGAGAATACATAGCCACGGTGTATTGCCATCTCGATCAAATAACTTTCGTTAACACCCCATATAACTGATTTATTCGATAATCTCAAATGCAATCAAAAAATCTCATGAACTATTTTTTAAACATGCAATCCATATTTATGGCAATTTACGAAAGACTTACAACTGTTGTAATGCAGGCAGTTCAGAAAAAGTGCCTTCCTCTATCAGTTTAATGCCACAATTGTCCAACCGCCTGGAAAAATAATATAACTGGTCAGAACGAAAAGCGAATTATGCAACAAGTAATGTCTCTTACAACGGCTCGTTAAAATATCTGTCTGGTTTTACGTGTCTCGTTATGTACAAACAGAATAAATTATTTTGGGTTGTGTAAAATGATTGTCTTTGTTATTTGTATTATGTTTGATTTTGAGCAGATTATTTTACTTTTTCGATGGTCACTGAATTTGTTGAAATCATAATGAAATGAGTAATTTTGCAATATGCCATAGCCGTTTTATTAATGAACTTTTGCGTTTCGTGTTGTGAAACTGTAAGTTTTGATAAAAGTTTGGCCCCAAAAACAGGGACCTGATTCCAGCGTATCCCAATTTAAAAATCTTAGAATTAAATAATTTCACTAAGTCTGCCGCTACTGGACCCTCTGATTGATTGACACGAACTGCTGGCATCTGGTAAGTGGCAAAGAAGATTCGATTTTTATTGAGTACTAGTACAGTACTGTATCAAGTAAATTGTAAAAGTAAGTAAAGCATACTACCTACACTCTCTGTATATTACGTTTTTACGTAAATTCCAAGAAAAAATAATGTTGCTGTATTACTCGTTAGTGATTCAATTTGGTTTATACTTACAAGATTTTCAGGTTGTGCAGACCTTTAAAGTAACCCTTTCTTAATTCCCCCAAAGAATTGTAGGACAAAGATCTATAAAATATGCATGTACAAGAGTCAAGAAATAAGTATTTTGCAATTGTTTACTTATTGCATCATGGGACAAGAAAGGCCCCAGAAAGGCCCAGGGATTTTCGCATTATTAAATTATTATTAGAATATTTTTGTCTGTATAGCGAAGCCGTACAAGTCAACAATTACCATTACTCATCTTTTCACAAAATTAATTGCAGTGACAAGGGTACAATGAAGATATACTTAAAGTTAGGAATTAGTGATAATAACAGACAGACTATAACAATAACTTACATTTCCCTTAAAGATGTATTCTCAAATAGAGCATTTGGAATTTTCGTCAGAAGATTGGACTGTAGATGCCTATAATGGAACAATAAGGGGGAATAACCCACAATTCATAGATGAACATATCTCCATATAAATATGAACAAGCCTGGTTCATCTTTAATGGAGATAGGTTCATTTATGAATTCCAGGATGTTTCCTCCTCTTTAATGGAACACTTCAGTTTAGAATACAACTTGGCATGATCAAAATGGCGCATGCTTAATGGACGATAAATGACTAGTTTATGAGTTGAAAATTGCTGACAAATGGATATAATTTCCCAATTCAAAAGGTAAAATTGGCATCTGCTAGTCAGATGCGCTTCCGGTTTATCAATATTGACTGTCGTTGAAAATAGACGACTTCCGCTACAGTGAGGTCACGTGATTAAAAGAAGTATCTACATATTATGATAGAGTCACAGTTTTATTTGAGTCAGCGTTGTTAATGCAAATCACATGACTCAGATTAGAACAATACACCCTTAAGAGAGAAATTTGCAAAATAAAATAAATGGTGTTAATGTTAAAGGAACAAAAGGTTGGAAAAAGACTATAAATTACAATGAAGCACATATTTCAAAAATATATTTCCCAAATAACTGTCATAATTTAATTTTCTTCATGATTAAGGGATTGACCTGATATAAAGTCAGAACTATTGGACTTTTTATAGAATATGTATGGCTTGGGATCATAAGAACAAATTAGTCTCCATCCCTCTAAATCTCTTTAATTAATCCAGTTAATACTTACAATTTCGTAAGTTCAGCTAGATCACGGAAGGCATCGTGTGCAATACTAACAACGTCGGACTGCATAATGAGCCTAAACATACAATGATATTCGTCGTAGTTATATTACAACTTACACTTACACTAAATCATAAATAAATCCAAAAGATTTCAGAGCTTCGGGATGGCAATTTTGAAGTTAATAAATGGCATCGGTTTAATTTTTGTAATTTTTGCTCATGGATATGTGATCATAGTCCTATATGTCTGCATTACTATTTGCCTGTTGAGTGGTTGATTATATTGAGGGGTGTGTCAGAGACTCAGAACTGACTAAATTTCACACCAGAGTGCTGAAAGCCAAAGATAATTCAGCAAAAAAATGCATTAAAAATATCTACTGATGAAACGTAGGGGTCTTGCCTTGGGATATACCTGAATTATACATCACACAACGGAAAGGAGATCTGCTTTATTATATTTAACTATTACAATTGCCTTTGTCCATAAGTGTTTGTCATAGGACGGAAAAACACATTTTCAAATCTCAGCTTGAGAACGTGTATGCTTAAGAAAATATCTAAAAGTTACTATGACTGTAATGCTTTGTTGTAGGTGTGTAAATCCTTCATGGAACGTTTGTTTTTAGCTTAATCTTTTGTTAAGGACTAGTTGTACAAACATCTAATTAGGAGTACTTATTCGTTTAATTGCTTTTTATGTTTCAATACTTACAGCTCCTTCAGATTGGTGAGATTTGACAGGTGCTCCTGTCGTAACAGATCAATTCTGTTGCCAGATATATCACTGCAACATAAAAGGTAAATACATGTAACCTGCAGATATATCACTGCAACATGAAAGGTAAATACATGTAACCTGCAGATATATCACTGCAACATAAAAGGTAAATACATGTAACCTGTAGATATATCACTGCAACATAAAAGGTAAATACACGTAACCTGCAGATATATCACTTTTCTTGAGACAAACTGTGCAGAACTTTTGGATCAATTCTCGTACATGTAACCTTCTTTCTCCGAGTTTATACCTACATTTACTTTTAAACCACATATATATTCGAACACCTGTCTAATCTGAACACTGCCGATGTTAACACTTTTTCGGTCCCATTTTTTATTTTGACATAGTTTACCATGTTGAATTCGAAGAACCTCCAAATCTGGATGCTTGCCAATACGGGCACTTTTGACTTGAACCAGTGGTTTAGATTAGACAGGTTTTATATTTTTCTGATACTCATTGCATCACCTTGTATACAATAATACAACTTGTATTTAATCTGAGATTGCCATGGTTATGCATGATAACTTATATTGTTTTTACATTTTATATCTACGTCAAGAAAACAATATTTGGACTTTAAAAAAGGCGTAACAAAAATGATACGATAAAAAAGCTCTTCGCAAAGCTTACCTTTGATATGTTATTACCTTAACCATGTTAACATATCAATCAAAATACACAAGAACCTACCCCTCTAACCAATGACAATAATGATTTTGACATTGAAAAGGCGTTTGATCCTGTACAGACTGTCCACAACCGCTTTAATTCTTCTAAATATTACGACTTGGCAAATAACATCTGTCAATATCTAAATAACAAATATCTTAAAATAAAACTTTTCATTCCTATGTCTTTACTTACAGGACTGTGGTTGTAGCTGGAATATTGCTGGGAACATCTCGGAGCTCCTTGTTTTTGCAGAAGATTTTCATTGATTGTGTGCATATACATTCTGTTGGCACGTTGACTGAATCTACAAGTATACGAAGCAAACAAACGTATATAATAACATATATGAGGGTAATGCACACATACTTCTAAGGCATGCATTATAACATTTTGACCAATCAAAGCGCACCATAGCAGTGTGTTAACTGTTTTGTCAAGTTGTCAATATCTCGGCAATCAACTGCTACTGCAAAATGTTTACCATGATTGGAATTTGATCATTTCTGTCTATTTCTCTATATCTTTAGAGGGTCTAATCACAAGAACCTGCTGACCTGTTGAACATGCAATTACATTCGATCCATTATTTCTATTCTATTTTGCTGAAATGCCATATAAATCAATACCAAACACTCCAAAACCATCATAATGTGGCAATGTGACCTGACTTGTCTAGATCTCTAGTTAGATACATATCATTTACTTGTCATCATTAGAACGATATAATTTACTGAAAATATGATTTATTGCTTCATGTACAGGGTGACCAGTATTGTGAATAGAAGTGGAAAAGGCAGACTTTTGCCACGTGTGGTCTGATTTCTCTAAGGGTGCGTGTTGGAACTGCCCGCGGGCGAGTGCATTGCATAATACCAGATAATATCCCCCTAGGTATCACGAAAAGAACAATGAGCCAATGCAAATTTGCAAATTACATGCTCACACGTTTTCAACAAAACCAGTTCAGCCAAGCGCACTTAAACCGCTAATTAAGCTGTGGCAACCTTGTCTGCTGCTCGCGTGTGTCAACCGCGCCGGCTTGTTGCTAATGCGCCACAGGAATTCGATTACAATAAACTGTGATGTCTTTCAAAAGAATTATGTGAGTGTTAGTTCGGGAAGGACTTTTCGGTAGCATTCGCGAATGCAGCTACCGGCTACGGCATTTCAATGACTTCACTTTTAGCGTATGCGCATCTGTGAGTGTTTACCCATTGGATACTATATTTTCACAATGACAATTCATGAAGATTCAACCATAACTGAGAAAGTAGTTCCAAAATACGAGGGCTGCATTTTGGTGTTACCCTGTAGCATTTTAATTCTCATTTATCAGTGTCAAATTAATGATAATTCAATGAACTGCATCGCAGATTTCACAAGGTGGCCAGATTTTCTCTCTTAGCCTGGTGCTTATTAGCTAGCTTTTATATTTGTTTCTACAAATAGAATATGGAAAAGAATCAGTAACAGGTGGGATGAGTTTATAAAGCTCTGGTGGATCTGCACCCCCCCCCCCCCTTAAAATGGGCCCAGAAAAATGTAAGGGCCCAAATCAGTGGGCCTTTTACTTAAGGCCAAATCATCAAGAAGAATACCCTAAAAGGGCCCAATTTGGGGTTTTAGGGGCAGGTGTAAAAGGGTAGGTGGTCCTATCAAATTGTGGTCCTACTCTCTATTGATTTATATGGTGACCTAATTACAATTATTTTCCTTATTATTTATACACAGTCAGGGCCAGTAAGGGCCGTAAGGAAAGGGGACCAAAATCCCCAGGGGACCATAATTTCTTTTACACCGGTATTATTTTATTCTGACTTCAAATTTGCCCTCTCCCTCTTGTTGCTTGTCGCATCCGCCCTGTAAAGCACCTGATAGTATATTTTTAGTATATTTAAGTCATCTTCACTTCACTTGCTCATCAGATGTGAGAAATCTGATCTTGACAAAAACACATGACCTTTTGATGATATATTTATAAGTTGTAATTACTAGAGTTGCAATGACATATTCGGAATTACTCTGATTATCATGTCTGAAGATATGTATTCTGTCTAAGGTCAAAGAGAATTGGCTCCCAGAGTGCAACATCGAATTCAAACAGCCGCCATTTTGTTCACTTCAACATTTGAATCGTGAATTCTGGTCTTATTTCCTAACGAAAAATTCCAAAACTCATAAGAAATGATCGAGATATTGGTTTGAAATGTTTATTTTGAATTTATAGTCGGTTATAATTTCAGAAAATAACGACATTTCGACGTTTTCACTGTTAGAAAATATTGAGTTTCGATCCTGGGAGCCAATACTCCTTGGTCTGAGCAAGGACGAACGTAATACCCGGAACGTTCGCAAATTGGCGTTCGGTTTTTTACCGCATCCGATTTGAATTAGCCAATAAACATGATAGGGGTGTGAGAACTTGAAATTTATTCTGACAATGTGTCTTACCCCCTTTGGACATAAAGTCCAGAGCTGAATATATCAGCACATGTTGATGATTGGTAAGTAAAAAGTAAAAACAATCTATCCTTATAACGTAACATATTTTCTATAGTTAAGTAAATTTCGGTCACGAACCATTCAGAAACAACAGTTAAAACGATGATTGTCCGCGTCAGATTTGATTGTACCACTTTGAAACCAATGGGGTTTTCTCATTTGCATAATCACGTGAGCCAAAGACGGTTATGGGGGATTTCCGAAGCAGGGTGACACACATTAACAGAATACACAATCGACACTTAAATTACATTCCCCTGTTTATTCTGTTCGTATCAAGCCGTTTTTACATGTCATATATTTAAGTTAATCAATTATGTAGCTCATGATGTGAACAGATTCCAATGCTATAGAGAAAATTAACCGCAAAACGGTACAGAAAAAGGTACCTAGGTCTGAGAAAACCTACCCCCTATACAACATTGTCTAATGAAGACCAAACAAAGCCCCGGATGTCGTGCCGTTTCTCGTTTCGTTTGGTACACAACTAAGCCCCGGATATTAAATAAGCCCTTGGACTGAGGTCATGGATCAGAGGCGGTTGATCAAGTAACGAGAAAGGATCTCTGCAGATCTTTCAACCAGAATGTTATTTATCCAGGCAACGATTCCGAAGAAATCAAATCATTTGAAAATGAAAATCTGGAAAACAATGACTACGGTGATGATTGCGAAGATACATGTATGACAATCTAAGATAGAACCCTTTGATCCTTAGCAACCAATGAAAACGTAAGGTACATGGATGATGGTTGAAGACCACAGTAGAGTTTCCCATAGGTGGCCATTATAACATTTTACCCTGTGATCTTATTAACGATTAGTATCCAAGCCTAGTGCAACATACCACAGTGTTCGGGAGAGACTCCTAGCTTGCTATAACAATCTTACCATGGGTTGTCCACCGAACTTTTGAAATAAATAAACTTGAAGACACTAACCCCCTCTATCGTCAGATTTCTCAGAGAATTCTGGTAAAATCACCAAGGTCAAAATCACTCCGCCGCCAGCTTAAAATGAGATTTCCCACTGAACTCTGACATGTTTTCAGATAAATTAGGACCTACCCTATAAATATTTAGTCCCGATTCACTTCCCAAACGCCAGATGGCGCTACAATGGGGTAGGGAAGGAGAAAATGACTTTTTATTCAGAAAACCAAATCACTAACGGTAACCGCTAATGTCCTTACTCAGGACTATATCCGATATATCTGTTCTCATTGGCTTTGTCACGTGAATATGCCTAAGAGGAGGGGACCCCCCCCCCTAGAAAATTTTGAATCCGCCATTTTTGTTTGTCGATTTGGACCAATCAGAACGGTGGGCGTCATCTCAATACAGATTTACATGATAGACGTACGTCATCTTTGAAGTTGAACCCTGGGGTTTCTCCCCTTCTGAATTCTTATGTCTAGTCCTTGAAGTCACGCGAAATGGAAAAGATTTACTCCTTCTGAGTGATGTGGCATTTTAGCAAAGTTGAAAGAGGTGATTAGTATATATTTGACCTCTCTTTGACCTCGTAGGAAACTTGGCGTTTTGATTTGATCAAATGAAATAAGACATCGATGATAGACTACACCATTTATAAACTTAATTTTCTAATGTTCTAAGCTCAGTACTTTTGTAACTTAAAGTTTGATGTTTCACAATTCAGAATTAATTCACTCAAAACTGTCAATCTTATCTCGAATATGTCAGTAAATCTTGATTTTTGTTTTGTTCGTGTTAAAATTATCTATAATTACTGAGCATGTAATAGCATATCTTAGAATAGTTGTGGTATCTACAGCTATTTATAGTGTCGAGAAAATTGGATTTTTACTTTGGTCCATAACAAGTATATTGTGGAGGGGTTCCTTAATCGAGGTCTAGGCAATAATTCAGCTAGAGATCGCCACATTGAGACCGCCATGTACTCTAGAAAAAATCTGCCCGTGGTGATTAATCACTTTCAATTCAATACGATTTAAAAAATATTCATGAGAACAAACAGCCGCAATTTTGTTTACTTAAAGTGTGCGCCTGACCCGGCTACGTATAGCACAGAGTTTATACTGGCGGATTAGACTAGTTCATTTTTTTATATGTGTGTGAAAGCTTTCTCTTATTTGCGTTTTTTCGTTTAGTACGGTTTTGTTATAATTGCCGAGGTCATATAACCGGGATAAAACAATGATTATCGTTGACTGCCCACACACAAAACATACGTTGAGTGAACAGTGTTATTACAAACAACAGGCTTTAGAATACAAAGCGTAGTGTGATAATAAGCTGCACACTACCACTGCTGCATGTACATATTACTAATTTACTAGGGCTCCCAAAGAGTGGATAGGGAGGTTGTGTTTGTCACTTTAAAATTTTACATTTCAAAATTGTCATTTTACATGTCATAATTTGTTGGTTTCATTCGTTTAGCCAATCAAAACATTGTAAAACAATAAATTGTCTGTTACGTACAATCAATTTTGTTCAGTTTTGATTAGTTGTCAGAATAAAGTTACGTTTATCTGAATCCATGTATCAAAACAAAAATCCTATTTTCACTTCAAAATACTTCAGTGAGATGAAGGCTCGGAATTGTCACATGCAATAACTTTTTGTCGTATTCGTTATTTTATCTTCTCGATAGTAGCATTTAGTCGCACATTTGATGCCAGGTCACCTTGTCGCGTACCTCTTGGGGAACCCCACATTTATGTGTTTACTCATGGAAGTAAATTCCCAGGTGTAGCCGAGAGCCACAAACTTCTCAACAGGTTCGAAATGACCAATTTCTCTCATATATACTCTAAATATTTTATTATTTAGCACCTACAAAGTATTGCTAATGACCATATGTAATTTCAATAAGGAAACTTATCTGGCTACATATAAATTCAATATCAACACTAGCTGTTCTCTCAACACGTCCTGGCTTACCTTGTGGTGACAAACCCTGGATTTTCGCTATTTATAGTTTATCAACACCTGGACGCATGCGCATTTTATACTTTATCGGGCACTTTAAACATTTGAATCGTGAATTTTGGTCAGGCTTATTTTCAAACGAAAAATTCCAAAACTCACAAGAAATGATTGAGATATTTGTTCCAATCTTTTGGACTGTTTATTTTGAATTTGTCGTCGATTTTAATTTCAGATAATAACGACATTTCGATTTTTACATTGTTGGAAAATATCAAGCTTCGATCCTTGGAGCTAATCCTCCTTGGTCTGATATAACAACTGTTCTTTAAAAACATCTAAATTGTTGAACTTTAACTCGCTTTGGCTTGGTTTGACTAGGCTTTCAATTAACAATAAATAACAACCGACAGGGATTCATTGTTCCTTATGACTGTTTGTGTTCTTGGATGTTTCTGTTTTTCAAAATGCTTTGTAATACCTATTGGTCTTTCCTTTTTTGCCACAATGTTGCTCTCATTTTTCATCAAAAAATTAAAGCAAAGCACAACATTTTAACAATACATTCAGGCATTACAGAATGCTTACTTTACAGAAGCCATAAAAATAAAGCAATAACGACGTACAGTACATAGATGATGATGTTTATCGTACATAATTCAATAAAACGGGTCAAAACGAAGGTCAAAGTCAAATGAAAAAAAAGAAACAAAGAAAATTACACTAAACCAATTAACAGATATCTAAGATGATAAAGAAGAATGGTAAAAAGACGGTCACGTTTGGCGAAGTTAAATAACTTTAATCGGACTTACCGCATCTCTTATTCTGTTGGCCATTAACAGAAACCTCTCGGTGCCAATCTTCATCTGGACGTTTAGGAAACAGCTGGTTCCAGTATTCATCAGCGTCATGATCCGCTGAAACAAAACAGAGAGGTTAAGAGACCCATTTTAAAATAATTGCTACGTGAAGTGTTGGATTATGACCCCAGGGGTTTCTGTCAATTGGTTTCTTCAGAGACCTTCTTTGCAACTATTTGCCGACTGTATAACGTAGGGGAAAAATAATCCCCAGATAACCATTATTTTAAATGTCTACGTACAACTTTACAAGACATTAAAAAACACTGGGTAGCTTAACCTCCGTGTTTAATCTCCAGGGTGTCTCAAAAAAGGGAAACCGAGATTAAATTGCTAATTTCTCAAATATTTGCGTCAATATGTCCTCTTTCATATGATACCAAGATGTTCTATTTTCCTCCACAGATGAATGAGGAATGAGGGATTTAAGTGACCATGTCAAAAATAAGTTTGTCCCACTTTCAGCCTAGTCAATTCACTATCATAACATAAAGTAACAACAAACATTGGGATATTATATACTCTTTTACTTATTTATTCCAATAAAATTACACATATCATATTTATCACCCCTATGACCATTCAAAGTTGTTTTAACCCCAGTGTCCTTCAACATGACCCCGATTCCTTTCAAGGCAGGTGTCTGCCCAAGATCTCATAGTACATACTCCATCCCTGTTGATGACTCTCTGTCCCCTTAGATCCTTCATTGCTTCAACAATCCCGGCCCTTAGATTATCAATGCCTCATGGTAATGTTGTGTAGACTTTATCCATGAGATAATCCCAAAGGACAGAAGTCACAGGGTGCAAAACCATCCTGGCATAGCCATTTTAATCCCCCATAGTTCAGTCATTCATGAAAGGAAAAGTGACACAAACCAATATCTGATAGTGGCTTAAATCCCTTAGAACTCAGGCATCCATGAAGAAAAGTAGGCAACTTTGGTATCATAAGAAAGAGAACATTATAACCTGTCGAAAGGTAGCTGTGAAATTATCCTTTTATTATTCATATTTGAGAAATAAGCAATTAAATCTCGGTTTCCTTTTTTGAGACACCCTGTATAGTTTAACAATGGCTTCTTTCGATGGAAATAACCTGATGAAATAAGGCTTCAATAAATAAATGCTATGTGAAGCAATATGTCTGTAATGGCATTCTTATTCTTGGTCCATTCACAGAAACTTCATAAAGTTAAGAATTCCCGAAGAATTCAAAAATCAATTGCTGTAACCATAGATATGATGACGTCACGGTAAATGAATAATAAGGCAAAGTAATTCTTAACTTAAACGAAGTTAATGTGAATAACGTAATTTTTGCTATGTTAGATAGTTTGTGAAATGTTGATACATTGTATTTGTGATTGAGATGGCTTTTCTCCCATTTTGATGCAATTACAAAAGCTAAATAGACCTTGATCAAGTCGAAAATCTAGTCAAAAGTTAAATTCAATTGCCGGACAATTCTTCATCAAATCTCCTTGTCAAATGTATAGAGTAAAATTCCTTAACCTAAAAAGAAACAGTTCAAGTCGTATATACAAAGGATCTAGTGCGCCCTCCATTATGATCTCCCCATGAAAAAATGAATTCATCTGATTTTTCAAAATGAATATACTGCTTTTGCTTTTTGCCAATATTCAATCATAAAGTGTATAGGGGTAGAGATGCCAAACCAGGAAGTATTTTTGTGTCTGTCAAAATCCGTTTGCACCCTACACATCCCTACATCTTTTCCAAATATGTTATTAATTAATGAAACATACCAGTATAATCTTTGGATTTACAAAGTTGTATGGCATTTCATAAGTGTAAATGTTGCTTTTGACGCATTTTCTATAGCCATCTTGTTGGAAAAATGATGAAAAAATGTATAATCTTTTAATTTGAAGTATAACCTGATTCGATTGCAAACTTTATATGTGCACATCTGATATGATATACCATTTGTGTCATATTGTGAAATTCGATTCAGGTCATAGTGTATTTTAGTTTTTTTGTGAAAATCAATAGAAACCAATGGCCTCTGGAATCTGATGGTATCCACATCATATCCAGCAATCGTAATGTTAAATCGGACATCACCTTATCTCCTAACTGGTACTATTACTGAGATTTCGTATCAACACTTTAGTCTACTAAATTATTGTTTAAAACTCATATATGTGAGCGTTAATGCAGGGGCATTTCATACAGCCTATAAACACCGCCCTTTCATTAAATGTGATTTCTGGTTTCCTTAATTTCGCCAATTTCTTAAGAAATTGATGGATAATTTGAAGATTATATGATCAGACACATAAATATGGCATATACCACATAAGTTTCTCATATTTAGTTGTTGTTTTTTAGTTGCTGTTTTTTGTTGAACCATATATTACCTACATGGATAACGTATTTTATTTACAAGTAGGCTGCATCTTGTATTAGACCAACATAGCATCAAGTTTCACTAGAGCTGCTAAGAACACTTCTTATCAGATGTGTTGACAGCTCTCCTGATAAAGAAAGTGACCGGAGATTTCTGGATTTATGTTAAGTCAATGGAACACATTCAATGTCAAGTCAATACACACTTGCAATATAGCTACACGTATTTAGGGCAATGTATGGTCATAAAATCTCTACGAGCTATCCATCACACCTTTTAGATTAGCCCATCAGCCAACATCTTGCTTCATCAAGCTTCGGACCTATCCTCGATAGAACGTAGTGATTGAGCGTGGGAACCGACGATGATCAGCCAATGAGGGCTCATAAAAACAATTTCAATTGTATATATAAGTTTCATCATATCATAGATTCATTAAAACCAACATGTTCGCGCGCTTGAAAACTAAGTGAAATAATTGAAGAACTTATGAAGGTGAGCAATTTCTAAGGCAGATTGTCAGGTACACAATCTACACATCAATCAAAAAAAAACGATCAATAATAATTGTTAAAAGCGAACAGACATCACAGATAACCCTGCTTCTTTAGATTCAGGAAGCATGTCAAAATAACCTCACTAATTGATTGAGGCAAATCATACACTCGCCAGACAAATTGATACTGATGAAGATAGAATACAACCACACACATACAGTAGTCTTGGTGGATCAAATGAAATAAAGCTGGGAATAGTGTTAATTTTGATGTGTTCAGGCGTAAACAATTATCAAGGTGACCATGACATAGATCACTTTAAGCTCTTATTAAATTGAGATCTAATTTTACCAAATTGACAGCTGTAGCTTGATTATGCCAGCAAAAATACGAAGCTATGGCGATGCCTCTTCATAATTACCCGAGGTGGATTTATTCATTATTTCAAATACGATTAATATTCACGTATTTGATTCTCCAAAGTTCATCAATATCCGATATGTTCAAAGTGATCGAGATATGATAGTTTGGGCATGCGTTCAATTTAAAACGCATCAAAACGCAGAATGGGAATGTATTGGGATGAGTATCAGAATTGTATTTGTAAAATCAACTGCACACTAATAGCGTTTCTCCTACAGGTGTGGCACAAATTTGTCTTGTTTGGTTTCACGATAATGCATATCCCATTTGGGAAATTATTTTTAGGTTGTCAAACGTATGGAGATCACTGCATACATGAGCTACATGACCTATCCTGACCTTTCAATATAACACAACAAGCAAGAAACTTTCAATTAATGTACTATTCGCATGGGAATGGAATCAACGTTACATGATCCAATTATACTTTACATTAAAAACTCGTAAAACTAGTCATTCAATTTGTTAGAAAAGACGCTAAATATCCTAAATTCCCTTTGAGGGATTATTCAATCAATCACGTGGTGGGTCACATGAGGGTTGCCATGACTGTACGCAATGAACCGGAACTGAACAGCTTTATGTCGACGTTGATTTGTGGAATATCATTTAAATACTTTATAGTACTTTATAGATAATAAATATCGTATTATTACAAAAAATAAAAATTATACATGTTCACACATGTTGGTCAATAATGAGATTCTAGGGTGATGGCCAAAAATGTGTCAACATGTCACAAGAGAAAGAAAATTTCTATTAAGATTACTTGTCTAACATTCCAAAAACAATATTCAATGCGAACAAATTAGAAACAATGACGTTTGAGCGACATCTTTAAAGAGAACACATACGCAAACGTGTATTATTATGGGTGTAACTCCCCCTCAACCCACTATTAATAAATATTTATCGGCCTCCTGCAAAGTCACAAGAAAAATCGTTAGACTACACGATCCTGCAACATATTTACTTTGTTATCAGATCAGGATCATTGTTTGACGGATAGGAAGACGCTTGACTTTGTTTTGTCAGTATGATCTTTGATTAGTCTGACAATAGCGCCTGAGGTAAATATTCCGTAACGAGCAAGGATAATTGATGGCACCAACAAAGTAATAATATCGGTTGTCAATTTCCAATTGAATGATCAACTTTTGAAAAAATTATGATCTCAGCGAATTACTCATACAACTAGTAAATATTGACTTTTTAGTTTTTCTTGCTTTTATTTATACGTCGTATCTCTAATCTGGTGTAATTCTAGTCTAATTTCCGTCAGTTCTGATATGACGATGCCCTTGTTCCAGGTGCACGTTACTCGAGTACTCATTTTAACCTGCCAAAACGAGTTTCGCCCTTGCGTGTTTCGGTTTTGAAAGAATTACAGTCAGCAGATTGCGCATGTCATATATTACCACGGTGTATTACCGTCAAAGCTAAATACCTCAATGCAGTCCTTCAAACGTTTTTAGGTAAGCTTATGTTTCGTCAGTGGTGTCGTAGACAACGTTTGTCTCTGAGATCTGCTGATGGTCACTCCCAAGTCTTTGCATGGATTTTGAGTCATTAGAGCTTTGGGTTTTCAGGTCTACATCGGAAGCGATAACAGCTTTTCTTTTGTCCCTTTAGTATAAGCAAGGCAGAAATGGTCTGATGAATATCAGGACTTCAAGTCCACAACCCTCGATATTATAACATAGTAACAGTAACAGATGTCCTGTTGACTGTCCTTCGGTAGTTCTTATTGCCGTTTGCTAG